CCTCCTTCGTCACCGGCCTCAGGGCCGGCCTCCAGAGACTCTGCCTCTTCTCTGGCCTCAGGGCCGGCCTCCAGAGACTCTGCCTCTTCTCTGGCCTCAGGGCCGGCCTCCAGAGACTCTGCCTCATCTCGGGCCTCAGGGCCGGCCTCCAGAGACTCTGCCTCTTATCTGGCCCGAGGGCCGGCCTCCAGAGACTCTGCCTTTTCTCTGGCCCCAGGGCCGGCCTCCAGAGACTCTGCCTCATCTTGGGTCTCACGGCCGTCCTTGTGAGACTTTGCTTGGCCTTGCCCACCTTTTGATGGGGTTTTTTGTGTTTGTATTCTGTGTTTGGTTTTTGTTTCTTGCCCTCCTTCCTGGTCTCCTCTCTGCCCATCCCGAGTGGGGTTTTTTGTTTTTGGACTTCTTAGGGCATCTGGAATCTGCCCTTAAGTGGGAGGTACTGTCATAGTTGTGGTTCTGTTCAAGTTTTATCACTGAGTTTTCATTGGTTTTATTTCCAGTTTTGTGTTGTAGTTTCTTTTTATTGTATTTAAGTTCTTAGATATTGTTTGCCCCCTTGTGTCAGTCTCCTTTTCCATAGCTCCCTTCTTGTCTCTGTTCACACCTGCTCCCAATCTGCTAATTAGCCTGGTCTTTGTTTCTCTCTCCCATATAGTCTCCTCCTGTTCAGTCATTTTTTTGCTGGTTTGTTGTCATTTCTTTTCTGGTCAGTATTCCTGGTTCTCAGATTTGGTGGATTTATGTTTTGGATATTTGCTTCTGTTGAACTTTTGGTTAATAAATCTTCAAGAAAGCATTTCAGCTTTTGTGTCTGCATTTGGGTCCTCCTTTAAATCTCCACCCCACTTGACACACACTACCAAATACAGCCCCTCTGAGATATGCAATGAGTGACTTGGTCATTCATTTCCGTTAAGCAGGTTTTTATAATTGTTGCCTCAGCATTGTTTCTAAATCAGATTAAAATCCTTCCCAGATCTCCCTCAGAAAGATGTTTCTTATATCTTAATATCTAACAAGTTTAAACTGGGTCTCTGTAAACCATTAAGACCTTCTTAAGGCATATTTTATTAACAGGAAATGACTCCTTCGTTAAATTGAGACATGATCCATGCCACAGGTCTACCACTGGTTTTTCCTTCCATGATAATAATTGAAGCATGCACTGTTTATTTAAAAAAAAGTCTTTACATAGCCATCAGTTTTAAAATAACTATTCCAGAAAGATAATGGATGAAATTTTGTGTGGAAAGGAAAAAGTGAAAGGCCAGCAATCATTTGGATGTTCTGTTTAAATATAGTTCTGCACATTCCTAGGACAGTGTGACACTGTATGAGATTCAGGTTCCTTCCAGTTAGCATGATGAGCTGGTAATTAGAGAAGGAAATTAGGCAGTTAATGTTCCCGCACTGACCTGGTTTTCTGATCTAACAATAACTTTTCTCATCTGACCTCTCCTATCTCTATTCAACACTATTTTCATACTTTCATACTAAGTACATTTATGTCTTTTCCTGTTTTGCATGATGATTAATTGATGAACCATGCATGCAGTTTCTTAATTCAGGGTGCTTTCCAAAATGCACCTTTGTGATTTTTTTGATTTGAAAGCTATTTATTAAGTCTCCAGTTTGTGTTGCATCTAATTTTCTTTTGATCACATATAATTCATATCATATATTCACTCACTCAAAAAGTGGGAAATCATTATTTCATCTACTCACCATATGCTGAAATGTATTTTTTTGTGGCTTAGACTTTCATCCTTTTATTATTTTAGATCATTTAAATCACTGACAAACTATGATAGTGGAATAAATAGTGTTCTGTTGTACATGGTATTTATTTTTTAACACCCTGTGAATTGACTTGTCATTAAAACAGGTTAATGGCATTGATCTACGAGGAGCAACACATGAACAGGCAGCAGCTGCCCTGAAGGGAGCCGGGCAGGTGGTCACCATCGTTGCTCAGTACAAACCAGAAGGTCAGTTGGAAAAGATGAAATTGCTCTTAAAAAATACTCACGTTTGATTTGGGTTGGGGGTGTCATAATGCTTATTTCATTATTTCTACATTTTGTACTCCCTTAATGATATCTTTTGGTGTTAGATTTAGACGGCTGACATGTGTCATGGTTGGGTTGAAGTTTTGAGGACTCAAATGCAGAGACAGTGAGGCAGTGGTGAATTTTGTAGATTTAATGGAGCAACTGAGGAAAAATCCAAAAATGCAAAAATAAAAAGAAAAACCCAGAAAAAACAAAAACGTCAGGGAAAACTCACATAGAAGTCAGAGAGCAGGGAAACAACAAAGCACAACAAACCAGAACAGAGTGACTGCAGAGGTGAGGTATATATTGGAAGACTGAACCAAGACAAGCTAATCAGCAGATCTGGAGCAGGTGTGAGTGGACTAAAATAAAGGGCACCAAGTGAGAAGGAAACAAACACAAGAGGGCAACAGAGAGCAGCACAACAACTAAACAACTCAGCACCGGTAGAACTACAAAGACAGAACACAAACAAACTAAAAATAAACCCAAGCAGAGGGCAGAACCCTGACAACATGTTGCCTGTAGATAACATCACCAGCAGATTTTGACTTTGACTAAAAAACGAATTGCCCATAAGTCATACGCAATGATTTTTGAGAGAAAATAAAGCTTTTATCAACTTTATTTATTGGTTTTAATTCAAAGCAAAAGATAAAGTTCTAAGCAGGGTTTTTTAGGCATAATATGACAACAACTCTGACAGACGTAGATAAAGACACATTAGTAAAAAAAAAAACAGGACTTTCTCATTCCTGTCTCTTTTATGTCAATTGAAATAAATGGTCAAACTTCCCTTTATTCCTCGCCGTCTTTAGTACCATGACAATGTAGAGCTCGCACCAGAACTTTTTATGAGTTGGGGAGGGGGACAATGTCTATAGTTTTTTTTAACCTTGCTCTGTATTGTCTCCTGGGCTGTAGTTTGTTCACCTTCCAATGATGGTCTTAATTCTCATATTCGTATCAGTTTTGATCATTTGTTTCTGAGTTGCTTCTCCTAAGGGTCCCTTAGGAGCAAGAGATAAGCTAAATAGAGACAAGAGATCCTGAAGACACAAGGAGGTTGAGTTGAGAAAACCATTTAAGCATTAATTTAGAAGTACGATCAAGAAAAGAGATCTCACAAATGTATGTATCTGATCTCAATTATGTCTTGGTTCTTTTAAATGTGAATTAAAGAGAATAAGATGAGATAAATCTGAGAAATCAAATAGTGAGAGAAAGCCTGTTTATTTCTTACTGAACCAAAACTGAGGGGTGCAATTGTTCACCTGTTCTTAACGATGCAGGGTTCATGTCTTTTGCAGAGGTTCTCTCATGTATATGTGCAAATAACAAGGATAAAGGTGTTTGAAAACAGTTTCCACAGCCACTAGGCTTATAGGCATTTTTCCACTGTAATTCTAGTAGTTGCAACATAACCAGAGTCTTAGCCCAAATACGCCGGGAGTATGCCAGTCAAGCGGCTGTTTCACTCCAAAAAATTGACCTATCAGCCTAATTTTCAGTCTAACCTTGACCTTTTGAGAGTAACACCCTAATATGCTGAAATACAGCAGTGAGTACCCTGCATACTAACATCACTGACAGAAAGCCTCCCCAATACCTCTTTCCCACTGGCCGAAAAACCCATTTACATCCAGGAAGAATTAGCTTTTTAAGAGG